TTACCAGGTTGGGGCTCTCGGCTTTCAGACTCCGTTCCCACTTCACATTTGAGCATAGCATTCACCATCAGACCAGTTTTTCGAATAACACAGTGTCTTCCTAAAAGGTGAAGGTGTGGGCGAAATAGTAGGCCAATTGTAAAGTGGTAGTGGTATGAAACTGCCATCAAAGAGCGGGCGACATTTGCCAAATCCGATCCCGAAACCGCTCGAATTGGTGAGTATGTGCTCCGCCTCTTGCCAACGCGCCAGCTATTGCTCGCAATGATTTGGCGATTCAATTTCTTCCGGGCATTTAGCAGAAATGGGCAAGTCCTTCACATGTAGAGCTGCTCACATCACTTTTAACACATGGAAATTGGCGAAAGTCATGAACTTCGCGAAATGTGTCGCCTTCAGTGACAGCTGGTCCCCGAAAAAGGCTTTTCATTTTGCAACTGCGAAGTATTCGCCTTGAGAGGAAATGCCTACATGAGCTGTCAAGCGAAAGGCTGAACTTGTCTGTCTGTTGTAGGGCTCACTTTGAAAAGGGATGTTTGATCTGAGGGCAGAAAACGAACTGGTCTACCGAACCCTTAGGGAATAATACTAACGCTGTCAGCAATAAATTCTCCCCCAGTGCCACTTCCGCACCATTATTTCCGTCATTTGTAGTTCCCAATACTTCGCCAATGTGAATTGGAACAAAAAAAGTGTTTTCGAGTAATCACTTTGCGCAAACAATTGGACTATTTCAGCAACTCGCCCTATATTGGATTCGAGACAACATCTTCAATTTTGGCGGAAATCCAAGTCGAATCACGCTTTTCGGTGAGAGTGCTGGTGCAGCTAGTATAGTCGCTCATCTTATCGCTCCAGGATCGGAAAAGTAAGCAATAGAAGAGTACAATCTTGATTGCGTCGTATACAAAAGCGAAGGATTAAATCAGAAAATTGTGAAAAGGCCAATTTTGGAAATTGGAGGGCGTTATCGAGAGAAGTAAGGGCTGTCCGGCTTAGCAAGGAAGAGAAGGGGGGGGGGCATCTCGCATTCTCGTTAGATCTTGTTGCCAGTTCATGTTGACAAACAGGTTGGGCGTATAACATCAAAATTAATAAAAAAGACAGTCTTGGGAACGGAAGAGTTAACTATGAAGAAGTCGGCGCTCTTCGGAGTGAGGGAGCATTTCCATTCACACTACTTCCGTTTGCCAGTTCATGCTAACTAGCAGGTTTGGAGAGGCTCCCAAACTCTTGCGAAGTTGGTATGGTGCAAGTGAGTCTCTTCGGTTACAAGAGATTATGAATGGTCACAAGCTGACCTGTGCAAGCTACGCTGCGTATTGTATGGTGCCCCCATAGCGCCATGGAGTATACAACGGCCTTCTGAGTGAAGGCACAAGGTCCGTGCATATTCAGAAACTTTGCTAGTTTACACGATCTTCTGTAGCAGGTTCGCGTCAAATTCAGAAGACCTAGAGTGAAAGCTCTGCTCGCGAAGTCATTTGTGTTGACCTGTTGATGAGCCGTTTCCCATATTTCCATTCAAAAACGGCTAAAAGTAGATATTTGGCACTAAGACCTTTTTCAAGAATTTGGGCGGAAGTGGCGACTTTGCACACTACTTTCGAAATACGTCGCGCATTCGATTTCTTCGAAGTAATTCCGTTCGGATGCCTTCCTCACTTGTAAAATGTGATCACTTGTGTCGCTGACCTCGATCTTGTGATGTTTTTCACTGGCAATGAGTCTCTCTGAATGGTTACCGAATCGAACCTCACTTTTGAATTTGCATCTGATTTCAGTCTCTTCAAAAATGGTATTTTGCAATCTGGGAGCCTTGATAACAAGTGGTCGATGGATAGTCCGACTCGAGCGTTGGATAAAAGCCAGCAATTAGCCTACCTCGTCGGTTGTAACCGAACACAGGTACTTTAACTCTCTCTTCTTTACTAGTCTTCATTTTTAAATGAGTGGGTGACTACTTCCATTTCTCACAGCATAGATTATTTTTTATTTCCCATAATTAGCTAAG